TGTACTCTGATGGTGTCAAGTTTAGGTGTTTCCACTTGGTTGTCTTCACTTCCTTTTGCAGATAATAAAAAGGTAAGTTTAAAATGTATAATAAGATATAGCATTTTTGTATTTGTTCATTGTTTTACAAACTTCCACTGAATAACAGCCTCCCCCCCCCCCCACATATATATATACACACACACACACACACACACACACACACACACACACACACACACATATATATAAATTGAATATTCTTTTGGACAATTTTCCCCTTACTTGTCCCTCCTATAGCTGAAGGAGCACTCTTTTCACAGGGCCATTCCACGTGGAGCCTGTTTCCATCTAGTATCGTCCCAGGAGACTCCCCGTGCTGAATGACACATGCAGCAACTGAACATGAAAAAACTTACATTATTTACGTCCTTAACAGAAGGTGCAGGTGCCAAAATGGCTAAAAGTTAGAGGGTCGGGATATTATTATTTATCTATGTAGAAATTCATCCCAACAGGAATCATAAGCACACACGGAAATGTCAGTATTTAACCTTAATTTTGTTTGAAACAAAAACAAACTTTCAAGGAGAATCAACTTATCAAACCCTTAATCCCTCAAAATATTGATATATATGGCGCTCTTGCAACGCCCCTAATGTTATTTATCTTATTCATGTAAAGTCAGTTATTTACTTAATGCTCAAAACAATAGTTGTGTTTTTTTTTTCAAAAACTAGTCTTGCCATTTGTATATTAATCTATCATTTACAGTAATTTTTCATTTGTCATTAAATAAAGAGCAGTCTAGCATAATACATGTAATTAATCATTTAATAACCTGTTCCTTCACTATTTAACTTATTTATCCCAGTCAAAAAAGGAAAAGCAAAAAATACCTTCATGGTCTTTATAGGTAATAACAGCAACACCAGATGCTCTATCAATGTTGATGTCCTCAATCTCACCGCCACCACTGCGTTTTTTACTTTCAAACAACATCTCTAAGCTGTCATCTGAGGTGTTTTGATGAAAGCCGCGAATTTCTACGGACCTGACTGGTTCTGGTGGTGTCAGCCTGCATATGGTCAGTGTGGCTCCTTCAAGTTTGAGGAGACCTCTTTCTAATACTCTGTCAGCAACTGAAAAGACATCCAAGAATATACTTAACAGCAAGGGCATTGGTGGTGACTCACTTTGTTTTTTATATGTTTAGGAATAAGCACTATCTATATACAACAATAAATTCATTGTCAAGCTCACATTATATATGGAACCAAAATTTTTCAGTTATGAACATAAATAAATTATTCTCGTATTACTTAAAACCCATTAATTAAAGCAGCATTTGATCAGCATTAACCTTCTGGATCTACAAAGGTGATTGTCACATCTTCTGTCAAGGGATTCCTTTCCAATTTTGCAATTTCACCACCTCCAGATTTCCGTTTGTTTTCAAAAAACAACTCGATTGTGTCATCAGATGTTGTCTGATGTATTCCATGAACCACTATTGCATTGATAACCATGCTATCTTCCTGCATTATGTTGCCAGCTGTGTCATCTGCTTTATCTGGCTGGGGCCGACAGACACGTATTGGTGCACCCTCGAGAATCAGGTTTTCTTGGGCTAGGACACGTTCGGCAACTAAGTGGAAATTTTTTAAGGATTGAACAGAGGTTGTAGGTTATTTACATTAACAAGGGTGGCATTTTACACCTGATATAACATAGCATTTATGGCATAGTTACTTCTTACCAAAATGCAATGAAACAATTTTCTTAGGGAAAAATTTTCCCTAAGCGGAATTGAAAGTAATTCTCACCAAACCATTACTTACTTTTGGAATCTGCATAAGTAATTTTGATAACGCCTGTAGTAGCATCCCTTTCCATGTGCTCAATATCTCCGCCACCTGATTTTCGTTCATTTTCGAAAAACATTTCAGCGGTGTCTGTGGATGTCTCCTGTTTCACGCCGTGGACTTCGACAATGTGAGAAAGCTCTTCTTTTTGCTGGGGCTTAGGCATGCATACTTGTAGCTGGGCACCCTCAAAGAGAATGTCCCTCTTTCCAAGAACACGTGAAGCAACTAAAATGGTCATTAAATATAAAGCTAGTGATTTTTCTAAACAATTAACGTTTTTAAAGTAAAAAAACTTTAAATGTGACTTTCTGAAAATTGTTAAAACAAGTTGCACTTACCAGATGGGTCACAGAAAGTGATCCAGACAACGCCCTTTTCCAGGTTTCTCTCTAGCCGCTGTATATCACCACCACCCGACCGTTTCATGTTTTCAAAAAACATTTCAATCTTCTCGTCTGAAGTCTCTGCCCTTATCCCATGTACTTCTATCGTGGCTGAAACTTGTGTTGTTTCTATGCCAGTCGAATCTTCCTCGTTCTCTCGCCAGACCGCCTTTAACTCTGTTCCCTCCAGTATAAATGTTCCCCTGTCCACTACTCGAGAGGCAACTGAAAGAATTACACATGTAAATGAAAAAGCATCAATCAGATTTCTGTCTGTCACAAACCCCTCTTTCAAACCAGCACACACAAACAGTACCTGATAAAGGACAGCATTTGTTCGGTTAAGTCAACTGAAGTATTCTGAAGCATAAAAAAATATACATGTATCATAAATCAATTCTTTCCTACAACTTTACAGAAAACAAAATGCATAAACTTTAACTTATTTATCATGTCCACAACAACAGTGTACTGATTACCTTTTTGGCTATGAAAACACTTTGATGGATAATCCTTACTTTATGTCCATAATAACCTAAAATCAACTACACACCATTTTAGGTGTTGGGATTAAGAAAATGTATCGAATACTCAACATTCTGATACCTTAAATGAAAGAAAATGCACCAATTTGCATACTTAAATATACACTAGCTGATACCCGTCACATCAATCATTGAACCATGACAAGAGATTAGTATACACGATTTATAGCCTGGAGTCAAAGATTTTGTGACTTTAACAATAAAACTAAAAACCAACCTCCATTCAGGTGTAAAAAGAATTATCGACAATCTATGTTATATTAAAATATACATGTATTTATAATAAGAATTCTTAAAAAATTAAAGAAAGACTGGGACTGAGTAGTAATCACACTTTGTCAAACATGTACTTGGCAACCAGCGGCATTATCCACTGCGCCAACAAATCTTACTATTCATTAGAATGTTATTGACAGTATTATATGTTTCCCTCACACATGCGAAAGCTTTATGGAAATTGCCAAAGGCTAGAAAATGCCTTCAAAATATACTTTTACAAGTTTTAATAAAATTCAAACTATGGCCACTATCATCCCACTGCCCTATGGTATCGCTAACACCTGTCAGTTGTCAACAGATCGTTGTAAATGTAGTTTGGAAAAAAAAAACGTGAAACGGAGACTTTAGGTGATCTGCTACTATAATATAGATTGCATAAATTTATCATAAATTTATCACATCTGCAAGAAAAGTTTATTTATCTTTCTACCATTTAGGCACTAACTGAAAAACAAGTCACAGAAACAGCATCAGTTTTCACTACCAAAATTGCCCATATTCAGAACAATTGACAAAATAACACCTTATATAACACCTTCGATGACAGTATCTCCAACATTTTTTATGACTAGTTACCATAATTGCTGACAATTAAAAATTTTTACTTGAAGATAAATAAAACCAGGCAATTGCTCAATGACACTTTTTCCGAATACCCACTGTAATATCTACATAAAACTCACACTTGACAAAATAAATGTCATATGACATATTAGCTTTCTGTTCTTACCTGTTACATCATCAAAGACGATATATATGCAATTTTTTTCAAACTCTCTTTTCATTTCCTTAATTAGTCCTCCACCGCTTCTCTTTTCCTGCTCAAAGAACATCTCCAATGTCTCGTCTGACATCTCCGGTTTCACGCCAGTAACCATTACCGTGTTACATGCGAGGACAGTTCCTGTCTTTGGCACAGGCTTGCTGATTTCTAAACTAGCACCTGCCAGTGTCAAATCTTGTCTTTTCAGCACCCTCTCAGCAACTGGAAAAATGCAACTTCATATTCAAGCACGGCTGTAAAAATGAAATGCAAAACAGCATTATTATTACTGGTATGCCTACACTTAGAACATGGAAAGTCCAACCTAATTTGTGTTTAACTTAATAAAGAGCAGAACAAAAATGACAATATAAAAAGAACTGTCTACGTAAACTTACGTGAATCTACGGCAAATGTTTTAAAATAGATGAAATACCACAAAACAGGGAATGTAGGATAAGGAACTGGGCAAGGTTCCATTTGCCAGAGGGCAGACAATTATTGACAGACTGCAAATCTGCATAAATCTCAACTTCGTTGTATCATATCAAATTTACCTTTCTTCGTCTTGAAAACCAGCGTGATAACCATGTCATCACGATTCACATAACAGCTTTCAATTTCACCCCCTCCAGATCGCTTTTCACTTTCAAAGAACATACAAATGGTTTCTTCTGACGTTGCGCAGTTGAACCCTCGCACCTCAAGTGTACATTCCTCTTTATTGGTCTCACCCTCCTCATGTTCATGTCTGTCTCTGGTTTCATAAGGAGAGCCAAGGTTGCCACCTTGAGACCCAGAGTAAAGGGGAGGGATTTCCTGTGCTACAAGATGAAAAACTGAATATAAAAAACATTTGAAAACAAAAGATTTCAAGAAGACATTATACAGTATTGTCTCATTATCGTTAAATATAGTAATTAAGTAATTATAGTAGTTCTATTTTTTTTATTTTGTGTTCTTAAATATACTGTATGTCAGCTGTGCATTTGTATATCGAATACAGAAAAAAGAGACCAAGTGGGAAATAATGGTCGTTTATTATTATGACAGGTATTCACATTTGCCCAATATGTGCCAATTAATTATGACAACATCATGAGCATGGTTACACATCTTTATTAATTGAAAAACACAATGTAGGAAGGGGCATATATATATATATGGTTGGCTCTTTCGGACCCCTATATTTGAACTATAAAGATCACTGCATTGGCTAAGTGTCACTTATTGTCACTTGTGAGCAGTACTGGTCATTAAATTTTGGGGCGTCCGACTTCTTAGGGTAAAGATCCGGCCAGCTGAATCAGTAAATGGGGTTGGGGGATTTTTTAGATTTTTTTCAAAGTTTTGGTGTTTGGAACTCGAGGTCACGGCTTCTAGATTACATGTTCAATGTGAATGCATGCTGAAGTAAGTTACCAAAGTTGAAGTGAAATAATTCTTGATTAATCAGTAAATCAGTAAATTGCTGGACTTTAGTTGGACTTAATTCAGTTCGTAAGTAAAGACTTTTAACTGAATGGTGGCAGCATTTTTACCTTGTATAGCCATTAATGACTTTGCATTTTCAAATAATGGATACAACAGCACAATAGATGCAGGTTTTCTATGTGTATCATATTTCGTAGGATAAATTTTCAAAGTTGGTAAGAATTTGCACTCTTTTTCCTGTTCAAAAGCTATATTAAAATTTCCACTATAATTGTTTGCACAGCTATATTAAAATTTTCACTATTATTGTTTGCATAACTACAAAAATTGTTACGTCTACCAATACAATTTATGCTGGTTAACAACTGTTGTTTCATTTTAAACACATATGACATACTAAATAACATGCAATGCATGCTACTTATCGTAAGAACACGCATATTGCATATACAACCTATGGAAAAGCACCTACTGGTAATCAATAAGGTCGCGAGACGTGGTTATTTTCAGTTGCACCCTGGATTACGCACGCTTGCTACGCAAGGTGTCGCCTGTGGAGGGGGGGGGGGGCGGCACAGCCCATATGGTTACTGTGGCGAAGGTGACAAGTACTTCCAAACATTTTTTCATAACTGTCATTGTTCCTCATTCTATTCACAAATTTGATATTTACGGCAATTGAAAATGTGGCACTGGCAAAAGTGGGTCTTGGTGCGTTGACAGACCGCATACTGCACAGGTGTCCCCAATTAACCGCCGCCAGAGAAGAGACCCCAAGCATTAAACAACACGACCTGTAGATATTGGAAATTTGGCAAAAGTTAAGCAACTAAGGCTTTATTAGATTTGGGCAGAAATCGAGAGGAATGTCCAGTGACATGCCAAACCTCTAAGTTCAAGTCTTGGCCCTTGACACCAGTAACGCACCCCTTAGTCAAGAATGTGAACAAATCAATGTTGGGCAGGTATGCTCTACTTTCTACAGGCGTTTTGTGATTTTATCAACTTGATTGTCAAGTGCCAGACCTTTTGTCCCCAGGTACTAGTAGCAAACATTATCAGATAACAATCTGACACTAACCAACAGCGCTGTAAACCCAGTTATCAATGCTGTCTTCTTTACCTGTATCTTTACCAGTATTATGCCAGTGGTACGTTCGCTACATTTGAGTAAGGAAATATGCTTTGATGCTTATATTTATTTGTAATACGTTAGCATCAACCTGTTAATAAAAACTTGGAAACTTTCAATGTTATTACAGAATAAAAGTATAATGATGGGAGATGTTATATGATTAAATGCTTAATAGAAATAATAAAAACAGATCATGTGAAATATAAAATGAATTCATTTTATTTGGGTTATTTGTTTATTTATTTATTTAAATCAATTAATTATCAAACATGAAGCTTATTTTTAGAAACATTAACAGATATTACTGCAATATAACCCTGCTGGTACACAGATCTACAGTTCTCAAATGCAAATACCTTCCACACACCACTGATGAAATGTGAATAATCATATGTATAAAGCAGTAAAAATATCACAAAATGCGTGTAGGCAAGATATTTCTACAAGTAACCTCATTAATCAGTCAGGAAACTTCATAATGGATTCAATAAATGTAGAAATTTGAGCAAAAGAAATTCTACATACAGGCATGACAGATTTACCATATATTGCCACCAACTCTTAACTGAATGGGCATAGAAAGAACAAAGTGAGTCTCCCGCCCATTAAAAAGAATAATAAAAAAATAATTAAAAACAGATACTGCCAGTCTTAATACTGAAAAACCATGGCACCTTGCAGCCTTCACTGCCTCACTATTTGCAGACAATGTTCTAGTCTCTGTAACTGTGTACTTTTGATGAGGCATAGACACAAGAATAACTCCTTTGAAGTATATTGTGAAGGTCTCTTTTGTCATAAATCTGCCACGTATAACCTGAATGTACATATTGCAATTCACACCGCAGCAGCTTGTCTTAGTAAGGACTCAACCAGCTGAAAACTTGAGGCACAGCTTCAGGGACAAGATCACACCATCTTCCCTTGCTGTGATGATGGATCTACTAGTACATTATCTATGTCTTGTCCTCCTAGTTTCTCTAATACCATTTCCCCTGATCTATGCTCACATCAATCTCTACAGCTTTACCAACAGCTACACAGTTTTTACATCTGAAAGTATAAAGCCAAAATTGTAATAAAGCACTATCAATTTACTTGTTATATATTGATTTGAGGGCAAGAGAAAAAAGCAGGAACCTCGTATCATAATCAAGATAACTAAAAATCAAATACGCATAATCAAATAGCTTCAATTGTATATACTACTGATGATTTTATCTTTTAAACTTCAGCATAAATTTTGACTTTCTCTTGTTAAAGCATAGCCACTTTATCAAAATGTGCTTGAACAAATAATAATAATAAACAACCTGCACACATGATGGAACATGGAGGTCAATTGCCACAAAATAAGTTGATTTGTACTTGGTAGCCTGAGAAATAGTATCAGGTATTAATTTGAGCAGTAATAATACTACAGAGTTAACAACGACACAAGCATATGGTGTAATGTAACAAAATTCATGCATTACTTGCTGTGGCAGTGTCCTTAATATTAATTCTCAACCTATTGTGCACCGCAGGTTTTGATTTTCAATGTCATTAAAAATTTTTATTGCTGTTAGTTTGATCTATGTATCTGCTATTCAAACTAGAGGATCAGGATATATGGTACAATCAAATTTAAGTTCTTTGTAAGATAGGTCAAGGATCAATTTCAAGGTCACAGTAAATTGCCAGTATATGACTTCCTATTCAAGTTCAATAGTAACTATGGACCTATCTCTGTCAAGTTTGAAGTTAAAAGAGAAAGAAATTAGCAGAGTTCACTTCATGATAAAAAGTAGGCCAAAGGTCAATTTCAAGGTCACACTTAGATTGCCAGTATAGGACTTCCTATTCAAGTTCAATAGTAACTATGGACCTATCTGCCAGTTTTGGAGATAAAAGGGAAGCAAAATTTGCAAAATTCAGTTCATGGTGAAAAGTAGGTCAAAGGTCAATTTCAAGGTCACATTTAGATTGCCAGTATATGACTT